AGCAGGTTTAGCAGGTTAGCAGGTTTAGCAGGTTTATCAGGTTAGCAGCAGCTGGTTCAGATTTAAAATCTGGACATCTCCTGCAGCTCTGCTTTTGTTTCAGTGGAGGTTTGGGCTCTTTAAGCAGCAGATTGCTCTGCAGAGCTGCACATTCTCATGCAGCTCACTCTCTCCTCTGAGGCGTCAGGAGATCAATAGAAACCAGCTTCAGTCAGGAGCCGGCGCCGCGCCGCTGCAACCGTAAGGATGCAGCCTCCGATTAGCGAGCTTCTGCTCCGGCTCAGAGCGAAACCAACATGTTCCTGCAAACTGAAGCTCTGATCTGCTCCAGACTGGTGATCAGAACAGAGACGATTAATCAATTTTTTAATAAATAATTGTCAACGAATTTAGTAATCGATTTGTTAATTATCTGTAAAAAAAAAAAAGGCCATTCGCTGAAAGAATTACAAAGTCAGAGCAGAAATCCAAAACTGAAGAAAAATAAAAACATTTCGATAAATCTGTCCAGAACTTCAGTATCGGCGGGTTCAGCTTCTCCTGTAAACTGTCTCATATCCAGTTATTAATCTGCTAATCCAGATTAATCACCAGATTAGATCCATGTGGATGTCCAGCAGGAAGGCATGAGATTTTCACAGGTTGGTGATGTTTGGATTTTTTAGATGCAGGTGATCAAAGGTTCACTAAAGGAATAAAATGTTTATTTTCTTATTTAAAACAGAAATAATTTGTTTACTTGCAATTTTTTATGTGTTTCTAATATTGTGTAAAAAGGCTTTGATGAAGAGTCAGAAGTTTTTTTTATCAGAATAACTGATTAATCATCAGAATAACCGATTAATCATCATAATAAAGGATTAATCGTTCTGTTCTCTGAGTGTTAATAGTGTGTAAAATGCCGGATCGGGTCATCCCGCTCCGGAACCGGGCCTCCTCCTGCTCTCAGCTGTTGTTCAGCTTGTTTACCAGAACCCTCCGTCTGCCAGGCGGCCGTCTCTCTCAGGAATGTTCTGGAGAGTTTCTGGACCCGGGCCAGGCCCAGCACACTGCCTGCTCTGTGTCCCGCTCCCCAGCGCTGCTCAGAGCGGATCGGTCCGACCCGGTTCCGGAGCTCAACCAGTGCCTCTGTGCGGCAGAGACGCAGCAGAGATAAAACATGTCTGCTGCGTCTTCCAGCTGCAGACGGTCTGACGGGTCCAGTTACCAAACGGTACCAGTCAGGCGCCGACACGTCAGGAAAACTTTACCGTTTAACAAACATCTGAACAACCTGACATGAAAACCTTTTCTCTTGGCTCATCATTGTGGTTTTCTTTGTTCATCCTAATGAAGGTTGAAGTTGTTTGAACGTTTCGACGTTACAGGATGAAATGTTTTCCAGTTAAAGAATCAAAAAATAAATTTTTATTTACTACGACTCTGATGTCTCTGGTCACATTTTAGGACTATTTGTAGTTTACAAGGATAACAAAAGAAAAATAGACGAGTTGATTTAGAGACCAAAATGTTCCTTCAGCCTGAAACTATAAAAGTTTCTGACATCGTTTGGTTGGTTTGACTCTGGAAGAACCGCAGCAGAACCGGGTCAACTGGACTACCAGACTTCAATTCAGTCTGACGATGATGGCGAGTCCATCGGAGGGGGACGTGTCCCCTGTGTCCATGTCCTCAGCAGCAGGTTGGGGAGGGGCGCCCTGGACTCCATCGCTGCTGTTTCTATTCTGAGGAGCCAGCTGGGAATGAAGCTCTGCCGCCAGCAGGCTCAGCCGGGCTTAAAGCGGAGGGACAGAGTTCCGCCGGGCCGGGCCGGGGTCCAGCAGGAGTAAACAACCCGGGGTCAAAGGTCATGTTCAGGGTGACCCAAACGCCTTCCCAAACTTTCCAGCTGCAGACACAGAGAGACGGAGATTCATGAGAAACTCCCAACATTCCAGAAATGCCTCACAGATAAACATGGTCAGGCTGCTCCATGTCACACACACACACACACACACACACACACACACACACACACACACACACGCACACACACACACGCACACACGGTGATGTCACACCATCTCCTAAACATTAAAAACCATCAGGAATCTAAAAATAAAGACCAATCTGAGCAACATGGAGATAAACAGATTTTATTTTTCAAGGCGTTAATTGATTCATTTTTCTGTCAGGTTATTCATTCATTTATAAATGTCACAATTTCAAACTAAATATTTAGTTAGCAAAATTGACTTGTTTAGCTCCAAACTAAAAATTTAGTTATGTCTGTTTAGTTTGGAGCTAAATATTTAGCATCAAATTGAATTTTACCTCTGAGCTAGCTTAACATTTAGCTAATATGCAAAGTGGAAAATAAATTGTATTTTCTAAATAAATAGCTTAAAGCTAAATATTTTGTTAGCTAAGCTAACAATTAGCTTTATATTTAGATATTGCTAGCTAACTGTTTAGCTTAGTGCTAAATATATGTTTTCTAATCTAAATATTTAGTTTAGAGCTAGCTCCAGACTGAAAGGTTAAATTATGAAAGATGAAACTCGTATGGCGGCAGAACAACCAAAATTACTGCTGATAATCTCTGACTGTGTAACGTCATAAACTGTCCCCCACGCTGTCCGCTCCCAGGAACATTCCTCCATGGCAGCAGAAGGTTCTGGTTTCGACCGGACTGGGTCTTGGTGTGTTGTAGATTCAGAACCTCAGCCGGGTTTGGTCCAGCATGTTGGGTTCTGGTTCTGGTCCAGACGAGTTGGGTTCTGGTTCTGGGTGTGGTAATGACATGTTGGGTTCTGGTTCTGGTCGGCCTCAGCGGTCCAACCCCCGGTGTTATGCTGGGTGTGTAAAGCTGCTCCATGAAGCCTGTTGTTTTGGGTCGGCGCCTTTGGGGCCCTGAATGGGCCCCGGCAGGTGGGTCAGCAGTAACGGATCAGCGCCAACCTCCCTGTTGTTCAGGCTGAAAGGAGGCGGCGCACCTGTAGCGGCCTCACCTGGGGGGCGTCGCCCTGTGTTGGCACAGCTGCGGCTCTGAAAGCTTTAGAGAGAAGTCATGTCTGCTGCTGCTGCTGCTGCTGCTGCTGCTGCTGCTGTGATTTATGTGTTAGAGCGGCGCTGCAGCATCTGTTTACGACGCAGGCTGCAAGCTGCACCGGCCTGGACAGTCTGGTCCCACCTGAAACGCTGCAGCGGCGATCTGATCAGAACAAAACTCACTCAGAAGTTCTGGATTTATGAACCAAACTGATGTTTCTGTTTTTACTGCTTATTATTCAAAGTAAACCTCTGGTTCTGGCTCTGGTTCTGATCGGCCCATTTCCCCAGTAACATCTGATTATTGTGTCCAATCAGAACAGGTCAGCGGGTCCGGGTCGCTGTAGGACAACAGGACACGGATTCCCATCATGTCCAGTTGAGCTCCTGCTGCTAAACTTAGCATCAAACAAAGCGGCCAGAAAACGTCAGAAATAACCTGAGAGAAAATGATGCAGTTCACTTTTCATTACAGCGTCATTCAGCCACAACCTGATTCTAACTACACATTCAGTTTGAAGTAACAAATTAAATATTTAGTTAGGTACTTATTAAGTTAAAAAACTAAATGTTTAGGTTGAAAACTAAAAATATAGCTAGTTCAGAACTAAGTATCTAGCTATCAAACCAAAGACTGAGCTTGGAAACAAAATATTTAGTTACCAAGTTAAATATTTAGCAAGCCAAATTTTAGTTGAGTATTTAGTTTACAAACAACACATCTAGTTAGCTGGCTAAATATTTAGTTTGAAGCTAACTAGCTAGCTTCCAAACTAAATATTTTTGCTCGAAGCTAAACATTTAATTTCTAACCTTGCTAGCTCTGATCTAAATATTTACTTTGGAACTTAGCTGCAAACTGGTGAAAATGCAATTTTGAAAACTCTTTTTTTTCTCTTATGGACTAAATAATCCAGATTATTGCTGATATTTTTAACTTTACAAATGGCCGCCGGTATAAAATCCCCTGCAGAGCCCAGATGAGCCCGGTGGTTCTGCAGGTCGGATGGATTCATGGCAGATGAGTTAAATCCTTGCAGAGGAACCGGTCTGATGTTTTATTTAATGTGGTTTAATCCGAATTAAAGCTGAAACATTTTATGTAACTCCTGATTAAAAACACAAATCCGCCGCAGCTCTTCACCTGATGGAGGCAGGAGAACCGACCGGTGTCAGCGAATCATCTGCCGCGGGATCATGTTCAGATTACACCGCTCTGTGTTCAATGGGAGGCAGAACCAAGAAGGTTCTGCTAACAGGCCGGGCCGGGCCGTGGCCCTTTAATGACAGGCTGGGCTGCGGTCCGGGTATTTGTGTTCACCATGCAGCCGTCCAGAAACAACAAGCTGCACGTCGGAGCGGCGCTGAGGAAGAGGAGGAGGAGGAGGAGGACATATTTCTGGATCTCAGATGAATTTCTGCTGTTTTTTAACTGAATTATCCATCAGTCTGAACGTCTCAGCCCGGTTCTGTGAGGTTCTGGTCCGGATCGATTGGCTGATGTTCAGTATAAAAACGTTACATATTTAAAAAATAACTTAAATTTTACTTCCTAATTTAAAGCCATGAAATTGGGCCTGTGTCTCTTTAAGAAGCTCCTGCTCTGTCTGAAGCTCCGCCTCCAGGAAGTCATCCCAACATGGCTCCTCTGTTAACCCTTTAACGTTTCTGCCAGTGTCGCTCTGAGCAGCAGCTCCTAGAATGATGGATCGCAACTTTCAGATGTTTTGCTGCGTTGCTGAGTCCTCCATGTTGCTCCTCCATGTTGCTGAGTCCTCCATGTTGCTCAGTCCTCCATGTTGCTCAGTCCTCCATGTTGCTCCTCCATGTTGCTCCTCCATGTTGCTGAGTCCTCCATGTTGCTCAGTCCTCCATGTTGCTCAGTCCTCCATGTTGCTCCTCCATGTTGCTCAGTCCTCCATGTTGCTCCTCCATGTTGCTCAGTCCTCCATGTTGCTCCTGTGTTACAGGTTCGACTACCAGGAGTTGCTCCATAACTCCACCTTCTGCCTGGTTCCTCGCGGCCGCCGCCTCGGATCGTTCCGCTTCCTGGAGTCTCTGCAGGTAACAGATCAGCTCGTCAGTTTCCTTCTTCCTGGATTTCCCTCCATCCATGATCCCACAGCATGATGCTGCCACCACTGTGTTTCCGTTCTGGTGTCCTCTCCCACATGTTTACTGTCCTTTCATGGTTTATAGGAAATGTTTCTTCTTCGATAAGGTCAGATTTGTGGAGTCCATCTTTCAAGATGGCCGCCGTTTTTGAGCCTTTTAGCCAATTATTGCCATAAAATGTTGCCAGTTTTTATGACTTGGATGATCTTTATGTCACATCATGTTTTACACTTTGGTCATCCTGATCACACAACTTTAAAATAATAACATGTAGTGAAACTGAGGACTTTGCTGTTAGTGAGTCTCAAACCAAACGTCAACAGGACGGACATGAGAGACAGACGTCTTAATGTTAGCGTTAGTGTCTGCTAATTTTTTAATGTGTTTAGGGTTTTAGCACAAGCAGAGCTAAGATTGTTGTTTAGGTTGCTGTGGCTAATGATCATTTTGGTTATCTGTGGCTAATAACTCCTGATGATTTCAGTGTAAACATTTATTCTCCATTACAACAATGGCAGCCATTTTGAAAAATGTCCATCAGGAAAAGAAGATCAAGAAAATAAGTATGATTTCTATGGTCTCAAATGTGTACTTTATAATTCGATACCAAACACATTTATTTAATTGGCTATTTTAGCTCAAAAATAAATTTTCCTTGACAACCATGGCGGCCATCTTGAATAATCAGAAGACTTGATTACTCAAGTCTTCCTGTTATGTTTGGTTTGACACCAAAAGATAAACGATGGACAACTTAGTGCAGAAATTAATTTTCCCTGATGACCATGCTGAATTTTAAAGTCATTAACGTTTTTTCTTATTTTGTTTTATTTTTTAAGTTAAGTCCCGTCTGTGCCAGGTCAGGTTCTTGTATGTGGAGATTTTACTGAATTATCTCTGGGTTTATCGGACCGGGCCGACAGGAAGCAGCTCAGTTAGCGTATTGATCCGTCTGAGTGTTTCCTGTTTCCTGCTGAGTGCTCCGGTTCTGGCTCGGCTCGGCCTGCTTTCAGCCCTTAGCCTCAGACGGTCCATTAAGTCGTCCATCACGGTCCGGCCGGGCAGACGGGGCCTTCTGAGGCACAGAGTTCTGCCCTGCAATATGGACCCAGACGGTTCTGGAAACACCGGGCCCAGTTCCAGGGAACCAACCAATCAGCAGCAGGAAGCCTGTTTCTACTTCCTGTCCCCCTTTCAGGGTCCAGCCTGGCGTGTTGGGTCCGGTGCCAGTCGGACCCAGAGAGGAGCTGTGGTCGGAAACTTCCCCCCAGCTCCAGGGTGTTTGGATCTCCCCTCACAGAGCCTCGCTGAAACCGGTCCAGAACCACAGAACCCGGTTCATCCCAGCTGCATCCTAATTCCCTCCAGCAGCAGGTTTTCCCTTCCAGTCGCTGCTGCTGCTGCTGCTGCCCCCTGCTGGGCTCATGGGGAACAGCAAGGTCCGATCCACAGAACCCAGAGGACGGGACGGGTTCTGTTCTGCTTTAGCCTCAGAGCCGGTCTCAGCTCCCACTGAGTCACTGCAGAGGAACGCTGGCCTCGTTCAGACCTGACCCCACCCAAACTCTGTGTGTGTGTGTGTGTGTCCAGGCGGCCTGCATCCCAGTCCTGCTCAGTAACGGCTGGGAGCTTCCGTTCTCTGACGTCATCCAGTGGAACCAGGCCGTCATCGAGGGAGACGAGCGGCTGCTGCTGCAGGTAACACACACACATGCACACACACACGCACGCATAAAATCAATTATTGCCACGATAAATGAAAATGCTAATTTCCATTTGGACAACAAGCATTAAGTCTCTTGTAATATAGTTGAAAAACCGCCATTTTGAAACACTGCAAACCTTTGACACCCGCTACGAAGTAGCTAGTTAGCGCTACCTGCCCCTTTAGCCTGTTTTCCCTGTCTGAGTTGATTATTATTTTAAATACAATTTTGGTTACATACTTCATAATCCATTTTAATTATTGTTGTTTTGTTGTATTTAAAAGAATCTTTGAGTGGATGTGCTCACATTACATTTGGTAAAAATGGTCTGAAAACGACGTTTTCATTTGCCGCAATAATTTCTGGGACAATTAATCGTTGAACAGAATGTGTTGAACGATGGGTAGGATTTTTATGAGGCCTTCGGTGAGTTAACGCTGATTATTCAGTGTTGTCATCAAAGACAACAGTGTGTTAGCATTTTATGGCTAATTGGTTCGCTCGTTTAGTCAAGGCGTCCAACGCAAAATAAAAAAATATTTAAAAATGACTTTAAAAAGTCTCTTTTTCTAAGTCAAAAAAGAGTAGAAACATTTTCTTCAGAACCAGAACCCTCAGTTTAGTCCCGAGTTAAAGTCCCTGTGAGCCTCGGAGCGGACAGGAGATCAATGTGTTCCTCTAATGAAGCTCAAATTATCCAAACAGAACCGGAGCCGGCGCCGAGTCCGATGTTTCACCGGGACAGAGAACTAATTATCTTCCTGAAGGCAAAATCCATCTAAATTAGCCTCCATGTTCAGCCCTGGATCCAGGTTCTGGTTCTGGTGTCGGAGCTCCTGTCCACCCTGAACATGTCTGAAAGAGAGAGAATCTTCCTCTCCCTCTTCCTCTTCCTCCTGCAGGTGCCGTCCACCGTGCGCGCCGTACCAAACAAGCGAGTCCTGCATCTCCGCCAGCGGACCCAGATGTTGTGGGACGCCTACTTTTCCTCTGTGGACAAGATCGTCCTGACCACCCTGGAGGTGAGTCCAGAGTCATCCGGCCCGGTTCTGCTGGGTCTGATGTAGGGCTTCCTGCTGAGATAAAACTACTTCCTGTTTCTGCTCAGATCATCAAAGACCGGGTCTTCTCCCACGTCTCCAGGAACAGATACATGTGGAATTACCTGCCGGGCGGCCTGCTGGTTCTGCCAGAGTTCTCCACTCACCTGGCGCACTTCCCTTTCTACTACCTGGGACTAGGTACGCACTCACCTGGGAACCGGGACCTGGGAACTGGGAAGCGGGAACTGGGACGTGGGAACTGGGA